ATTCCACTCTTGATTACGAACGCAAACATACACTAGATTTGAACTTGTTCCATAGACAATCAATTAAAAATATTAGTGAGTTTGTATAGAACTACTTAATTTAATTTCTTAAACTTTCCTTAACTTTCTTAAAGTTTCAAAATATTTTTTTTTCTTTTGGTTTGACTCAAGCTATTCGGTGATCTTAATTGGATGATCATGTTGCAGTTTAATATTGTAGAGGTTAAAAGTAACGATACCTTAGTAGAGAGAATATCGGGTTTGAAATCCTTAAAGTAGTCACTCAGCGATTAAAGAGATTCAGTCTTAGAAGTAACATAATTCAATTATTTTGTTGTATTTTTTCCACAGCTAAAGATGGATTATCTCCATGGACTTGTATATCTTTATTTATAGAGTATGTAAATATATTTAGGTTTATTTATTTCGTGGATGAAAACCGAGATCCCTAAGAAGTTGTAGTCTTATGTTTTTAGGCTGTGTGTTCCTCTGTGGTTGAAGAATATGGTACTTCAGTTGAGGTTGTATGTTTATGTTTTTTGGTTGTGTGTTCCTCTGTGGTTAAAGGTTCCTCGGTCGTGGTTGTATGCTTATGTTTTTTGGTTGTGTGTTCCTCTGTGGTTGAAGGAGATGGTTCCTCGGTCGATGTTGTGTGTTCTTCTGTGGTTGAAGAAGATGGCACTTCAGTTGAGGTTGTATGTTTATGTTTTTTGGTTGTGTGTTCCTCTGTGGTTAAAGGTTCCTCGGTCGTGGTTGTATGCTTATGTTTTTTGGTTGTGTGTTCCTCTGTGGTTGAAGGAGATGGTTCCTCGGTCGATGTTGTGTGTTCTTCTGTGGTTGAAGAAGATGGTTCCACGGTCATGGTTGTATGCTTATGTTTTTTGGTTGTGTGTTCCTCTGTGGTTGAAGGAGATGGTTCCTCGGTCGAGGTTGTGTGTTCCTCTGTGGTTGAAGAAGATGGTTCCTCGGTCGTGGTTGTATGCTTATGTTTTTTGGTAGTGCGTTCCTCTGTGGTTGAAGGAGATGGTACTTCAGTTGAGGTTGTATGTTTATGTTTTTTGGTTGTGTGTTCCTCTGTGGTTGAAGGAGATGGTACTTCAGTTGAGGTTGTATGTTCCTCTGTGGTTGTTGAAGGTTGTACTTCGGTCGAGGTGGTTGTGTGTTTAGGATGTTTTGTTGTCGGTTCAGCAGTAGACGAAGACATTGGAATTACAGTAGAAGTAGTAGGGTGTCCTTTCGCTGTGGTGCTAGAGGAAGCAGACACTTCAGTTGAGGTTGTAGGTTTGTGTTTCTCGGTTGTAGACCCTTCGGTTGTGGTTGTTGGTTCGTGTTTCTTGGTTGTAGACCCTTCACTTGTGGTTGTAGTTGGAGACGTGGACGTAGTCGGCGCTGTGGTTGTTGGTGTTGTTGGCAAAGTTGTTGGAGAAGGAGTGGTAGGAGTTACTGGATGAACTTGGCCCTCGTGTTTCACTGTAAACCAGAATTTACATTCTGTAAGAGTAATCACAAAAACACACATTTTTACTGATAAAAAATAATAACTATGTAGTTTGAGAAATCAAACAATCAACTCCAAATTATTTGACTTCAAACAAAGTTATTGGCGAAAGAATCACTTTCAATGGTAGAACCAATTGGAAAGTGTATTATTGCATATGAAAATGACATTTCTCAGCTGCAGAGAGAATCTTTAAGAATGAAAGGAAAACAGCTATAGCGGCGAATCAAGGAGGGGTGGTTGAAACCCCCCCCCCCACCACTGACCTTAAAAGTTGATATTTTACAGTTAAAATATTTTCTACAATTACAAAATCTCTTCTATATGTCCCCAAGTAGCCCAAAAACACACCTTTCAAGTTAAATTTGTCCCTGGATCATTGGCATTTTGGATAGTAGATATCCCATTCTTATGAACCTGTTTAAGAACATAGTTCACGAGTCAGCCATAGAATTCGCTTAGGTATAAATTATATTTTCCACCACAGCCTGTGTTACTCAGACTGTTGAAATACCCTATAAAAGATGCTTAGTTCTATCAGATTGAATTACTGGTTTAGTTTACGACCATTTTGCATTGAATCAGACATAACTGTAACGTTGGGATTCTGGTCACTGATAAATGTTTGCAGAATAAAAAAAATTCTACCAACTAGATTTGAATGTAATACTAGGCATTTATCTTACCGTAATACCACGTTCCACCGGCGATACCAACGGCAATCAGAGAAACAACAGCCAAGGAGATGCAAATATTGCGTTGTCTTGGATGACTCATGACGCGGGAAAACCTGCGACATAACGTCAGCTGATTATAACACAATCACTCACTTTGATACCGTTGCGAGTACATATTTAAGTACAAATAAACCAGCGGTTGTGGATGCATGTAGGGTAAAGGTCGATTAAACTACTGATTGAGTGTTGTGATAAAAACTTCTGTTACATGGATTTATCCTTATCCTTAACTTTTGAAATACTTCATACAAGTCAACCTTTCTCAGGGGTCTGTAGTAATACTCACGGTATAAATAATACTATAGCCTATTTTCCCCACAAAAAAAATAAAAGCAAAAGAACGTCAGAAAACTCTTGGTAATGGTATTGAGAGTAACTTATCAATATTTGTTATTGTTATTATTGTTAAAACAGATACATTAATATTGATTGATTCATATAAAGTAAAAGAATCAAATCTAGTATTCAATGCTTTTAGTTTTAAAGTGTAATTGCAGTGTAAGTGTTCATTTTAAATTCGCTACGGATATATTGGTAATACCTGACATTGGTATATCATCAGGTCGGAAATACCATCAATAGATCTATATGGATTGATTTTTTCTCAAGTTAATACTCAGATAGCCTTCAAGATATGCAGCAATTAACTTTGTTGGCGTAGTATTTTGAGAAATACATGCCTATTAAAGACATCTTTTACATCAAAGGTTTTTGTTTTAGATAAATAAAAACGCACAACGATACCATAACATTAGTTTTTAAAATAAGGTAAGTAAAACAAAGTAAGTACAGTATTAGTAGAGAATAAAAAAAAATATTTAACTTGTACAAAGAAGGGGATATGTACAGGGTTTATTTCTAATTATAAAAATATGTTTGAGATTTTTTTACTTACCATCCTCTTGTTGTTCCATCTTCCAAATTGACGTACTGACTTCCAGATTCGGGCCTGAAAATTTAAATAAGTATAAGGTGTCACAGGAAAATATCCATGTGATGTAATAACACAGATTATATAAGTTACTTCATTCATCAGTAAAACATAAAATCTCACGAGTTGCATCGAAGTAGGTACAAGGTATGTACAAGGTAGTATGTACAAGGTAATAAATAAGTTTGATAGTTACTTGAAGATTAGAGTACTCAGTTTTTGTGGTTCGTGTTTAAATATGAAAGCTTAGTGAAACACAGCTGTACAACGGGTACAGCATCTCATAATAGTAGTTTTCATCACTAGGGGCGAAAGTGGCTCTTTTTGGTACACAATCGTGTCTTACGAATTAAATACCAAAAAGTCACTTTCGCTCCGTGTGATATTATTAAACAATGCTACTCTACGCGTGCTGCAAAGCAAGGCTAGATACAATCCACAAAAATAATAAGCAATTCCTTCACGCGAACGCCCACATTTTTATGAAATTTAATTTTCTATCGACTTGGAAATAAATCTACAAAAAATATGTTTTTACAAATGAGATCCTTAAACCGTTTTTAACAGACGTTTCTTTAACTAAATTTATGTACCGAGTTCCATTAAACAAAATTTATGACCTTTCAAAAATGCATTGAAAATAACCTTATGTGTTGAAACTTTGGCCTCCAGATAAAAGGTCCTGAACCCTTTCCACTAGAACAGCCACTAAACAATTATTAGATCTAAACCACTCTGTATTTAAATAGTTGTCTGTTTTTTACTAGCGCAGCATTGTTAATCTGTAGACGATTGTCATTAGAGTTTATTTGTTCACCACAATACAGATACTTCATAAACTCGGCCTATTATTCTGTATATTGCAGGAGAATAATGAGACAACAAAAAGTCGTAAACATTGCTATAAACCGGTTATTATGCAGCGAACCCATTTTCCCCAACATAAAGCGCCTCTTAAATGGAGTGTTTGGTCTTACAGAGAATTAAATAATGTTGAAGGGCTACAACTCATTACAATGTGCTCGACAAACGTTAGCAGCGACGCAATTACAGACTCTAATTAAAACATTACTCTTTCATTAGAATGTAAATTGAATTCTCGGCGCTCAACGTATAAAATACGTCTCGAGACCTATTACCTCTCTTACCTCCGAATATTAGTGCGAAGTGCCTGAATAATAAATTGGTGTGTGTATATTTTGGATTAAAATAATTTTAAGGCAAAAATAACATTATTATTAAGTTAAGTGAACTACACAACACACCAGGTGTATATTTTACAAGGTGTATACAAACTCTTTGGAACGCTTATCTATATTTGTTACTTAGGTCGAAAACATAAAAAAATATATAAACATAGGTCTAAAATGCCTTGGTTTCTGTCTGTCTGTCAGCATTTGATTTTCACTAAGGTATCATGAACAGTTACAGGTACAACATTTCTTTAAGGGTTAATCATAAGTTATTTATGAAACACTTAAGGGATTGTCTTCAAACGTTGGACTGGGATGGTGGCGTCGTCCTTTAATTCAACTTCTAGGAGGTCACGAATTGTGGATATTTATAGGCATACATTGTAAATGCGATACTCTCTGGTGTTGAATAATGTCCGCACTAGTGAGTACTACGACTATCCGCAGTGCTATCCTGATAATTAGACCAATTCGTTAATTATAAAGCAGAAATGTGGTACGAATTCCCCAATAAACTGTGGGTCCATTAGTTGCCATTGGCTGTATGGGCTTTTAATTATCAGCTGTATCTTTAGGAATATGTCGGCCTTACTAACAAGACTACAAGTTCGCGCCACTCATGTACACTCATCTCCATTAATACTTGGCAAATGCCTACTTTCGTATGGTCGCCATTACAAAGTAAAGTATTAAAGTGTATAAGTAATGACTTATAAAACCATCCTTTGTACAAAGTACCAGATTTCTAAAATATATCAATTCAAAATGGCGACCATTAAGCATTTTCTGTTTTAAATATCTCTAAAAAAAGTGATTATACTAAAAACTATTAGTGGTATAAACTGTTTGGAAATTTCTTGCTAACTAAATCATACATTAATTATTGTAAAAATCATTTAATAACAACTAGAATACATTTGTTTGTGAGACCATGCATGGCCCAGACCGCCGATGGTTTGTACCTCACTAACGAGAAGTGGTGCGTCATGAAATTCATATACACGGTCTCACAAAAATTGTAATATCGTGATTGTTTATAAGTCGATCTTTACGATTGAAGTATCGTTGGATTAACTATACCATTTTCTAAAAACGGACACACTTGATAGTTTTAGTAGAATCACTCGTTTTCAAGATATTTAAGATAGAAAGTTTTAAATGGCCACCCTTTTGAATTGATAACATGTACTTTGTACATCTATGTTTATTTTACTGGAACGTTAAAAAATGATCGTGAGTATATTTGACAAAACACAAGAGGACAGAGTTAATTTTACTTGAAATATAACAAGAAGGGATAATTAGTTTTATAAAATAAGTCCACTTTCCCATATTGAACATATTGTTATCAAAATCTTGATTGTGATATGAATTTCAATGGACAATAAAGCTGTATTCTCTACTACATGCAAGTGAATGGAATCAGGTTAAAATTACGTTTTGCCCAGTTATATAATTGTCATGTTAAAAAAATACCAACATCCTTAACTTTGAAAAGTATATAAAGCTTCGAAATATGGGATATTAGTATCGTAAATCAAACTTCGCTTCTCCAAAACATTCAGTTATCTTGAGCTTATCTCACAGTTATCGGCGTATTCCTGATATGACATTAGAAGTGAGGATTGAGCAGAACAGGCAGAAATGGAATAACCATTCCATTTCTATCAAAAATGTTTGAGTCTATCATTCTATAATAACGTTGACAGTGATTCTAATAAAAAATAAAGCGATTTTTATCAAGCCGAAATTCATATTAACTTTTTTTAGTAATAAAAATGTCAATCTAAAAAAAATACAAATATGCTTTAATAATTTTAAATGTTGAAACCTTTATTTAAAGTTATTCTTGTTGCAGAAATCAAATACTTTGTAGTTTAGTTTCGTTGTTGAAAAATTAGACTAATTCTAAGTTATGTCGAATAAAAAATAATGTTCACAATACAACTGCTTCTAAAAACCTAAAACCATTTTGGAAATGTTTTGCTCTAACTGCGGTTGATGACAATGTTTAATCATACTCATTATTTTGCCAAATAGTCAGTTCGTTCTCAGCTTACAATGTACGAAATAACATTTAAAATCAGCGTCAAAACTAATCGTGTAATTTAATTACCGCAAAAAACATAATACAAAATCAAAAGTATATTGTTTCACTTTAAAACTGCGATTGAAACTACTAATTACTTTATAAAATGGTTGTACGAAAATTCCTTTCTTTAATAATCTCTAGGATGTTTTAGGTTTTAGATGTATGTGAGATTAAGAAACTGCTCAAATCTTTCCTAAACTGTTTATCAAAATATACAGTTTAGAAATGAATGGGCTTATATACAGAGTGTCTTGCAACCATATAAACAAACTTTGTCACGAAATTCAGCTTGTCAAAAGAAACAAAAAACGTAATACATGTAATACATATTCCATATACAAATGTATAACATGTGTCCGATCTCATTCTGTTTTCGGTCTATTTGTCTGTATGTGATTTTTACAAAAACATTCATAACTCCTTAACTGTTTGAGCTGCAGCGTTAAAAAATTCTGTAAATAGTTTTTTTCACAATCTTTTTAAAACGTTTAAAAAGAGAAAACTGAAGGTATGACAAGAAAAAAAAATCTCGGTTATTCTTTGTCCAAATTAAGCTTATAAGATAGCGTTCTAATCTGCATAAGATTTACTAAATTTTACATATCCTGCAAATATTTTGTAAAATTAACGGTTTTCATGGAATCTGGCATCAAATATTTGTTTAAGTTGCCATTTTTAAATGGTTCTAGAGTTTGTATTTATATTTTGTAAAGACATAGTAGTCAATGAGATAATCATTCTTACAGAATTTCAACGATATCAACATCGTTTGAAAACATCGTCGTGTTTGATGAGAACATCAAACAGTCAAGGAGTTATAAATGTTTGTTTGTAAAAATCACATACGGACAGATAGACCAAAAACGCAGTGAGATAGGACACATGTTACATTACATTTTTGTTTCTTTTGATATGCTGAATAACGTAACAAAGTTTGTTCATATGGTTGCAAGACACCCAGTAGCAATGAATAATTAGTTTATCTTTACGAGTAGTTTATAAATAAATTTAAAGTTTTGTTAAAACTTGGTGGCAATATTAACGTGTTCAAACCCTAATAATAAGAACAGACAGAGATGGATCAATTCGAATAAAGAAGATTGGTTGGTATAAAACAATCATATCACTCGGTCATAAGTCAGTGTTATCAGTAAAAGTTCAGTGAATGTTAAGCCAAAATTGGACTAATGTTGAATCATTTATCACTGATAAACCTTGCAAAATATGCAATGCAAAATTTTAACTATGACACAGAATTTACTAAAATGATCAATACAGTTCTAGATACTAGAATCCATCCGGATATGATTTCAACAGATTTTTATTCCATATTTTCAAAAATCATTTATCATATCCCTATGTGTATTGCAATAAAAATATTGTGATGAATGATATCAAAATAAATTTGCAAATTGAAATTATATAAAGGTAGATTAAATGTATCATAATACCCATTAAAAATTCCCTATTATAAAAAAATCTTTTACAAAAAAAAATGGTACTTATGGATTAAACGGAGGCCACATTTTGTCAGCGCGCTGCGGCAGTTATGTTAGGTTGGGTTATCATAATAGAAAGTACTCGTCTGGTATCGTTCGATTCATAACGAAGCGAGGAAAGTCCTACACACATAATATTTACGATAACCCAACCTAACATAACCGCCGCAGCGCGCTGACAAAATGTGGCCTCCGTTTAATCCATAAGTACCAAAAAAATTAATAATAAAGTTACCATACGGTATAAATGCAAAGTTTACAACTGGATTTGCACTTTTTACTTTCTAATTTGTTGGATAATTTATTATTTGTCAAACCATTTTACAAATATTTTTAAAAACTTAAAAATATCAATAATGTTAGAAGAGTAAGAGATCACGGTGTAACACAAACTCATTGAAAACAATCTCTGCAGAAAGGTAACAAGTTTGCATGTGATTTCATGAGAACACGTGTTTGAAATGTCAGGAACACACATGCATATGAACCTGCTTGTGGTTTAACCTAGCATTTCATTAACATTTAGTCCTCTTGATAAATATGTTAACCGCGCAAAAACCAAAAATTATGCTATTCATAGTTGTGTTTGACACATAGGTAAACATTTAACAAAATACATAATTAACTCCTGATGATTAATCTGTCTAAAATAATTCATGAACTGTATGTTTTTTAGCTTTTTAACTTAACTAACGTGGTATCATAGTAGTAATTAAGCTTATACGAAAAAAATATAATAGGCCTATTTAAGAAACTAAAAATTTCACACATTATTTGTTTTAAAATTAAACGTTTTACACATGAGTATTGTTGCATAGCATTTTTCAGCTTATTTTAGTTGAACGTGTGATTTTGTTTAAAGAAAATATTCAAGAAGTTGAAAAACATTTAAAATAATAATAAAACGCTCTACTGAAACATTATAACATATTAATATAAAATAGACTTACATGTTGAGTATTGATGATGGTGAGGATCGAGGAACAGTTCTGTATGGAGACCGAGAGTGGACTGGCCGCATGGTAGGGTAATGAGTGAGACTGCGGGTCACGTGATAAGACCAAGAGGTCACTGATAACAGCTGACTAGTACCGGTGCCCCCAGTGCCCTGCGGTGTCCGCTTAGTCGGTGATCAACATTTGAATCATTGTTTTAATAAATTCTGACTGTTATTCACTTGCGTAAAATTCAACAGGGAAAATATCAATGATTCGACATTCTAAATTAGTTAGGGGGCGGAAAATTACGTGGTTGAGGTTATTGTTGGAGAGGGAGTAAAAGAGGGTCTTGTCAAGTAATCACTAATGAACTAACGAAATGGAGGTAAAACAAGTGATTCGGTTCAATTGGCGTTTACTGATTTTTAAAGGAGGTGGGATTAATAATTTTGTTTTATAAATAACACGTATACAAATGTTTTGTTACGACTGAGTGCATTCAGGAAAACGTGCAGCCACAAAAAATAAGCTCGTAATGGATATTGCTTTGTGTTTGTAGGAAATGTATTCATATTAAAACATCATTTTTGCTCATCCACGTCACAACATTCATTTTGCCTCGTCGGCACAAAAAAAATATTAAAAATCAGTTATGGAATTACATTGTTGTGGAAGTTAACTCAAAGTAATAGTACAATCAAAATGTTAGGAGTAACCAGTAAATTATGTTAAGTATAAATACCTTAGTCCGCTCATACTTTATTTTCTTATTTGGCAACTGCTTAGTATGCAATGCCAGTAACATAACATTATGCTTGTTAAACATATTATTTCACATTTCACATTTTAAACATTCGCTTCAAATTAGATCGCTCGAAAAACGCACCACGTATGATGTGGCATTGAAAATCTGTATCTTTGGCAGATGGTCGGGGCTAGCGTGTGATAGGGGTTCTGTTTTGCATGATTTCTAAAGCAACTTACATTATTTATTTTATAATTTGACTTGCTGTAAATTCGCATTTGTTCTGAAAATGTAATGCTAGTTTTTTACAACAATGTTAATATTAGTCTGATCGCCAAGAGATATTAATATTAGTCTGATCTATGTCCTTTAATGATATAACAAGATCAGGCAGCCATACAATTGTGTGTTTACAAAGGATTATACATTTTATTTCATTTCAAAATATTTTATAGTATGGACATTCTTTACACTGACTACCACTGAGCATCAGTGATACTTAAGGAAGAGTGTTGTAACAGAATTACAGCAAGGTTGGAGTTTGAGAACCGCTTGGATTGACGTGTGGTAAATGGAGCAAACTGATCTTCTGTCACCCGGAAGGAGAAATGAGTGATCTGGAATTGACACTAAACCTTTCACATTTGACAATCTCAAAATGTCCTCAAATTGTGGTATTAAAATTGAAAATGCAGTATTTCGATGACAATTCTCTCATAGGGATTAACAAATAGATCTTATTATCAAGTTAGACTTATTATTGAAGTTTTTCACTATTTTACTATCTGGTTATTAAAAATTGAATTCACAACACCTTCTCCAATAAAAAAATTAATATACATTATACTACAAAAAAGTGTGGTATCAAACTGCTAAAAACAACAAGGTTTGTGTAAAAATCAAACTGATGACACCACAAAAGATAAAATGAAATATGTTTACCGCTGTTAATGGGTTATTCATTGACAATTATATTTTTGAATTTGCCTTGGTACAAGCAATTAATGTGCTGCCATGATGTAATAAATGGTACAAGACTACAAAAAAGAGGATGAATTTTAAATTCAGTTTTTAACGTCAGCAAAGACGCCAAAAACCAGAGTTAGAGCCTTTCCCCATTATTGGATCCAACAATCAAAGCTTTCAATACAAATAACAATAACACCTCATTATTTGAAAACCAAAAATAAATTATGCGAGAAAAATAGCTCTGACAATTTGTATTAGTGACCAAAAGATTTTTTAAAAACACTTGTATTCAAGCAACAATTATTTGTAAAACTTAACTTAGGTTAACTGTACTCACACAGAATTGAGACATTCAGGTAAACTGCGGTATGCAAAAGTGTGGCAGGGTAAGGATACCCGTGTGAACAGAAGGTTCTTTGAATGGCTCGAGTCAGGCTTCAATTTGCATGGGAAATAAGCTGAATACCCTTGCACCTTTATGCTAGGAGTTCGCTGGAATTCTAAGATTGTCTTAAAAAAAGACATCCAAAAAATGTCTACAGTTCAAAACGCTGGCTTTTCTAAGGTTTAAAATGTTTAATAGATATTTAGTTACCAAAATATGTTATTGCAGTTTTACGCTATAGTATATTTGTATATAAAATACAATCAGTATGATTAATAAAGTTTTCTGATAATCTTAATACTAATATAATAAAAAAAAATGTTATGGAGTCTCTTCGATTATCACTGAAAGGATTGGCTTTTAAGAACCAAATTATAAAAGAATAAAATTTCTCAAACTGTGTCCTCTCCCAATGCAAACGCCAAGCACGAGTATTACTGCAATAGGCATTTTATACGTATACGCCAACCCCATAAGAATGGTTGGTATTCTGCTAGTGTAAAATTAGTGGCTTCCCATTTCATAGCTATAAGCTGGAACTAATGTCGTGGACGCAGAAATGTATCCTCAAATTACGAAAAAAATATCTGTAACACTTATAAACACGATTTTTTAAGGTCTAGTATCTCTAAACTTCTTTCAACCCGTCTTCATCTTTTAAAACAACCGTTATTTACATTTCATTTGGTAAGTAACCACCTGGGAAATTTGGAGAATTTGCGATATTCTGAACCTTAAAATATTGCTTGCTACCGCTTTAAGTTTCTTCATATTGCATAATTTGTGCCGCTGAGTAATTCCTTTGGGTTATCAACCATCACCTCAAGCTAACAATGATTACCTAAATCATAACAGATTTTCTGAATAATAATACAATTATTTTCTATTGTATTGTTTGTCTAATTTCTTATAAAATTTTCAGTCCTTTATACAAACATTTATGTTTATTGTAAGAAAGGGGACAAAATTATTTAAACACACAACAACAAAACAACAAAACAAAATTTATTGTAAGAAGGGGGTTTATTGTATTTTATGAGTTGCATGGGACTCGCATTATATATTAAACTAATTTAGCATTTTTACGTTTGGATAAAACTTTTACCCTGGATTTTGCGATAAAACGACTCCTGAAATTGTCCAATTACTCTGGTTAACTTAGGTACTCGCCAATTATCTTGCTAACATTTTTACGTGTTCGTTTAATTTAGTAAACATTCATTTGAGAAACTATTGTAATTTATGTATTGAAGTAATGCATCTACAAATTGAGTTTTTATGCATCGATCTCTAATAATAGAGAAAAATGGTTTCATGAAGAAATTTAAGTAAATGTTATTAAAGATCACGGCCAGTTTTTAGCGTTGTAATCAAATTGTTTAGCATCTAATTAAGAAGTAGCCTACTTCAGTGATAAGTGTCTTGGATAAATTTCAACTTGGTTAGGGTATGTTATAATTCAATTGCGATTTTAAACACGTCATTATAGATGTTATAGGAGATACGGAGTTCTACCTTCACAACACTATCAACACTCTTTAAACTAATACAATAATGAAATCTATTGATATGGTAGTGAGAACACATAGAATTAGAATGGGTTTTGACAGACCGAAGTAGACATTCGGAATTATAAGTAAGTAAACAGTAACAATAACCTTTGGTCAGCGAGCCACACAGAGTTAAACTACCAGTCTATGCCTGTACAAAAAATGTGACTTGATTTATAAATAAATGCCAACTTTAACAGACTGATCTTATTTCTTAGAATACGGATAACTTAAATCAATTTCCATATGAGTGTTTGATCCATGGTGGTCAATGTTTTTTGCAAATTAACGCTTTTGGCAACACACTATCAAAGTATTAAATTGGTATAATGATAAATTTGGCTATTTAATTTAAATTTTGAGTTAAAGTTTTGAAGGTAAAATACAAAATAATTTAGTTTGATTTAAATTAAGTAAAATAAAATAAATACTTATTCCACAGCTTAAACAAAATGTTATAAATTACAAAAATGACAATTTAGTTAAAAAATACTACACCAGAACACAAATTACAAGTTACAACACAAGAATGGAGAAATACTTATTTTTAGAATAGGCTGTATATAAGTCAACCAAGTGGTTTTAGTAATGTAAACAGAAACACCAATGTATCACAGTTTACTTGACCCATTCTTGATTACTTCATGATTCATTATTGTTTTGTGTTTTTCCTATTGCATGTTTCTATTTATACCCATTCTTAGTATAAATAAGTACAATGCAATGAATGAAACAATAGATTGAGGATAAATTAAATTAAAAACAACGTATGAAACATAAAATCAATTCAGCTGTTTCGACCAATTAAAATTATTATAGTATATGCTGCACCTTATTTTTTGTCAGTAAATAGAGAAAGTGACAGAAAAGAAAAGCAAATAGTTCAGTAGGTACTTCTGTTAGTAATCATAAGAGTTTCAATTCGATCCTTGCATAATTCAATTAATTGTTTTTTGATGGTTCACACAGGACACATTTATCCTTTATCAATTGATTAATGAGACTAAATTAAAGGGCCTTGCAGCATAAGAAGACTGTCGAAATAGTAACACCTTAGCCCTTTTCAACTCTAATCTCTTATTTGGGTAGAATGCGCCCAGGTGAGTCCCCATCATAATGGTGTTAAAATTGATTATTTTCAAGTGGTTTTTGAGAAGTAATTTCCTTAGAAGAAATATGTGTGTTTTATATTGCCAACACAGTGAAAATTCCTCTCTTAATATAAAGAAAGGAATCAGCCGATGGAATCTGAAGTTGTTATTTGTGCGATATTTTCTCTCCACATAGCTTACCAATATGTTGATATTTCTCCCGAGAAATTCTTCTTGCAGGTCTCATTGCAGAAACATATTGCATACCTGCGGTAAATTCCAGGAGATATTTCAATCTGGAGACGTATTGAAAAATCCTCCTTCTTTTCCTTTCGATAATTTTATCTTGGATT